GACTCCCCATGAGGCACAAATCCCCATTCTTCCCTTTAGTATAAACATATGGACTGAATCTCCAAAAATTGAATTTTTTTTGTTTTCCTATAAAGGATTTCTGAGATTAAGTCAAAATCCTAATGTGTTTATGCGGGTATAAAGTGGACAGCGGTTTCAGTTTCATTAACTATACACTGTTAAAAATGTTTGTAGTTTTAATATACATAAAGTACTTAAATTTAAGAAACTGGTATATTAGAGTGTAATTCATATACAAAGTATATTAAATTTTGTCACTGAAAAAAATTCAAATAAAAAAATTGCATTTTACTCAATTTATACATGTTCTTGTGTACAAAATAAGGTTTTTATTAATAAAGCAAAGTAATTTCTTTCATGTAAATACAAGTTTAAATCAATTTACATTGTAAAAATGCATATAATTTGACATTTATAGTACTTAACCTAAATGTCACATATAAGTATTAAAATTCTTGTATTTAGAATGTTTTTTTTGAAAAATTTTCCCCTTATAAAACATTATTTGGACATAAACAACACAATAGTTAAAGAATTACGCACTGTTGTTTCAATTTCAAATAAATTTTCAATATCAAGGAAATAATGACCGTTTGGTGAAATAGGCATCTACAGCCGCCATGTTGTCACTTTAAATTTAATATACATGTATCTTAGATTTCAATACCTGTAGTGCATATTCGCTTCATACGCATGTATATTAAATCTAATACAGATTTTTCTAACAGTGATCCAAAGACTTCAATCATCATTTCATTCCATTTAAGTTAATCATTGGCGGTAAAATATAACTAACTTTAGATTTCTGGCTTCGATAAATCTAAATTTATAGTGTCAGAATTATATGATAATAAAATATCAGTAATTTTTTAAATTAATCTATATACTCTCTAAATATGAATAATCAGTGAAAAAGTCATTGGTCTCAAATCAGTCGCTAAATTCTAGCTATTTGAATCAGTGGTTTTCACTGACAGTTAATGCACTGAAAAAAATGTTGCCGAGAAATTCAACTATATACCATTGGGTAGTTGACTAGAAAGTAGTTAAAATAACTACTTTTTTAGTTAATCTAATCATGTTCATGTAGTTAATGTAACTATTTTTAAGAAGTTAATAAGTAATAGTTGTTTTTACGTAAATACACTGTTAGAAAAATCTGTATTAGATTTAATATACATGCGTATGAAGCGAATATGCACTACAGGTATTAAAATCTAAGATACATGTATATTAAATTTAAAGTGACAACATGGCGGCTGTAGATGCCTATTTCACCAAACGGTCATTATTTCCTTGATATTGAAAATTTATTTGAAATTGAAACAACAGTGCGTAATTCTTTAACTATTGTGTTGTTTATGTCCAAATAATGTTTTATAAGGGGAAAATTTTTCAAAAAAAACATTCTAAATACAAGAATTTTAATACTTATATGTGACATTTAGGTTAAGTACTATAAATGTCAAATTATATGCATTTTTACAATGTAAATTGATTTAAACTTGTATTTACATGAAAGAAATTACTTTGCTTTATTAATAAAAACCTTATATTTTGTACACAAGAACATGTATAAATTGAGTAAAATGCAATTTTTTATTTGAATTTTTTTCAGTGACAAAATTTAATATACTTTGTATATGAATTACACTCTAATATACCAGTTTCTTAAATTTAAGTACTTTATGTATATTAAAACTACAAACATTTTTAACAGTGTATATAGTTAAAGTATTGGCGATTCAAACAGCTACACTAGCGCCACAGTTGAACTAATTTAGGCGTGACTCGCTCTGTAGCACTCCATGTGTTTTAAATTATTTTTTTTTATTTAACGCTTAAAAATAATTTTACAAACGCAATAAAAATATCAGAATAATTAAATAATTTGAAATAAACTGTCAAAACAGAGACTGCTTTAGAGCGATTCACGCCTAAATTAGTTCAACTGTGGCGCTAGTGTAGCTGTTTGAATCGCCAATACAACTACAGGTCGGTAGTAAAATTAACTTTCTTAAGGTATAGTAAAAACAAGTGGAATTGTACACAGAAAAAAACTGTACTCAAAATGAGTACGAAATCATACTCATTTTGATATGCAGCAAAAATGATAACGCTCTTATTCATTTTGAGTTTTCAGTGAAAAAATATCAAAATGAAGAACGTCAGTTTCATTTTGAGTAAATGTTTAACTATGAATTATAGATAAATAACAAATGATTATTTAATTTAAAATAGTACTAAAACAATTGTTTTTCATAAATAAACACTTTGAAACCAAAAAGACTTTAATTCTTAAAGTCAATTTATTATTATTTATAAAATAAAATAAATCAAGTTTTAGGTTAAGAAACATATGAAATGACAGGCAGTAATACCAACTGCGTTAACATGAAGTAAAGAAAGAAAGCGCTATTGTCTAAAAACCAAAAGTAATTGCGCCTTATTTAAAAAATTTAAAAGTAAAATATTGTTTACGAAACAAAATGATATTGTATTAAATTTTTTTCACATTAATTAATAAATAAAAAAAATTTATCTTTAAAAATTTTAACAAATAAATTTTATTTCTTAAAATCACTGTTTTGTGATCAATAAACTAATAAAAAATTATAAATCCAATATATGTGATTGATATAGTTTTTCTTTGGATCTATAATTTTTAGTAGAAGTTGTTCTTTTTTTTATTTGAAAAAAATCCATCGTCAATGGACGAAAAGCTTTGCTTTTTTTGTAATAAACGAAATGATTATTTTAAAATATTATAATATTATAAAATTGAGTTTTTATTATTTAAAAATTCTTATGTATAATATATTTAAAATAAAAATAAATTTATATTATTATATAATTAAATTAACTCATAATTATTAATATTAATTATATAATATTATAATATGAATAATAATAATTATTATTATTATTATTATTATGAACAACTTTAATAATAATGTGATAAAATTTTTTTTCGATAGAAAATAAAAACTTTCATAATATTTTGAATATTTTAACTTTAACTGCAATGCTAATAATTTTTTTTATTTAATATTTATAAAAAATTTTAGAGACATAAATTGTATTCTATAATTTTGGTTTATTACGTTTGAATTACTTTGTTCTTTCATTCTCAGATGGCGCACTATGAAATAGTTCACAGTTAGTACCAACATAATAGTGGTAAACAATTTTATCTAGCATAACCTGACATTTGATACTAACCAGTTTCATTTTGAGTAACGTGAAGTTTGCCATTTACTCATTTTGATAATTTACTCAAAATGATAAGCAGCAAAAATGAGTACAGTTTTTTTCTGTGTAGTCAACTCAAAATTTGAAGAGTAGTAAATCCAACTACTATATACTACTATTCACCAGTTATATGAAAAGTAGTAAAAGGAATTATTTTCTTTAATTAATATAACTGCTTTTGAGTAGTAAATTTTTTATTAATTTCTATGATTTTATAAACTTCAATAAAATTCTTGTTGTAGAATTAACAAGTCGTCAGTAATTAAAACTACTACTTTAAGTAGTAGATTTTTACTATTTTAATTAATTCGATAAACTTAAGGAAGATTTTTGATGTAGAATTTACAAATCGTTTCCAGTTAAAACTACTACTTTAAGTAGTAGATTTTACTACTCAAAGTGGTACAATAGGCTTTAAGAACATTTTTGTTGTAGAATTAACAAATCCCTTGTGATTGAACTATATGGATTACAGTATCAAAATAAAAAATATACAAATAATGACAAATTTTTTAAAATGATTTTTCGTATAAATTAATAACAAAATCCCCAAACATAAAAAAACAATCCAAATTTTCCAAATAGCAACAAAATGTATAAATAAGTGATACATGTTTGTAAGGGTTTTCGTGGCCGCTAATTACGAATATGATGTCAAATTGACCAATTAACAGTTGACAGCTGTCAAAAAATCTGACAACTTTTCTAAATAATAACGGTTTAAAAAAAAATGACAGTTATTTTAATTTATATGATAACAAAAAAATCGTTCTTGTACATTTGTTTCTCTTGACTTTAAACAAACTTTTAAACAACTTCTAAACAAATTATGACATTTTGGTTTTCACCACCTTAAAGAGCGTTTCAAACTCGATCCGAATCAACAAAAAAGTGAAAAATGATTTTTTGACACATAAGGTCCCTTTTCATAGACCAGGTCACATATATAAAATCATATATTTTCCATTTAAGTGTATCCAAAACTACACGATGCACAATATCCTCCCTGGGTAATAAAAAAACTATTAGGTATATAAAATCTCTCTGCATCTTAATTTCTCGGTGTTTTATAATGCCGCGAGACTTGTGACACTTTTGTAATTGAAATCGCAAAAAGTAAAAAAAGGATGAGTAAAAATAAGGGAAAGAAGGGGGATAGGCAGAAAAAATTATAATAATCACTTGACCAAATGAATGGTTTCGCGTGCGCTATATGGTCATAAAGGTATCATAATACGCATTGGAAGGAGGTGAAGGAGAGAGAGGAGAAAGATCGCTGGGCAAAAGGTGAGGAACAGCCAATGGCGACTGAATTCAATGCTATCCAATCACAAATTGAGGTGGGAAGGGCTACAACGACCACTCCCACAATAATGACGTCAGAAGCGACGCCGAGCGTCGCGCATATTCACCTATATCGTACAAATACATATACAAACGGGTTGCGTCGCCCAACGACGCTTCCACATATACTTTTTGACCCGCTAAACATTCATGCTGCTTCTCTCGATTGTTGCGGTACTACACCGGCGCGCAGCTCCAACAACAATTGTAGTACTGCTCTCTCTCTCCTCCCCCCTTGCCCCCACCACTATCGTTGTTTCACGCAACACGCGCGACATTTCACCCCCTGATCACTCTCTCCCCCTTACCCCGCCCCTTCCTCCCACACTCGTCAACGGACTCCCCGACACCCTCTCTCATTGCAAAAAAGACGTCACTATTGCAGAGTCTAGCGAGGCGTTAACTAGTTCAGACCGCTAATCACTATTCAATTTATATATAGAGACAGAGCCCCTCCCACCCCCCTTTAATCAAATGAACAAACGGGTTCTTCGTGTATGGAATTTTGGATTAACAGTGAATTTTTTTTCTGTGGGTGATTATTCGTGATCGTGTGTTGTGATTTGTAAAAGGAAAATATAAAATAAAATGTGGCTCCAGAGGTGATTTTTTGTAAAAGAGAGAGGGATATTTTAGGATCTTGAATTGTAATTTTCTGAGAGGATTTATAAACTGTCAGTTTGTTATTTATATATAAATAAAAAATATAGTAATAATAAATTATTCATATATACAAGAGCGGGAAATGAATTAGTGAACAAATTGTCCCCCGAGGAGAGGGGAAAGAAAATTTTCTGCAAAGTTTTATTGGTAAAAAAAATGCATATTTTTATGTTTTATTATCAAAAAAAAATTGATGGAGAGAATTTTGGATTAGATATCAAAATTAAATTAATACAATACAAAAGCATATGTATATATAATTCCAAAAACTGGTTTTATTTTTAATGAATACTGTCAAGAAAAAGATTTATTTATTTGAAAACCAAGCGTTTATTTAGATCAAATAAATATTTGTATTAAACAAATATTGTTTTAAAATTTTTAATCTAAATATTTGGTTGTTGCGTACTCTTAATATATCCTGAAGTTAGGCTAAGTTAAGAAAAATTGTTTATTCAACCAAATAATTTGCTGGAGTCAAATTCAATTAAAAGATTGATAGTTAGCAGCAAAATGTTTGAATTAACATAATTTTGTAAGTTTTATTAATTTAACCAATTTTAAAATTCATTATATCTTTCGCTGATTAAATCAAAATAATTGATTTTAATATAAATAATACTTATAGTAAATTGAGAACTTGGTAAAACCAACGAAATATTTGGTTGTCGTAACGTTTAACTCTAAAAAAGGTTGAATTATAACAAAATTTATTACATTCAATTTAATGTTGCTCGATTTAATTTTTTTTCTCACTAATATATAACAGAAAATTCTGAATATTAATAAAATAATTACATCGCTCTTATTTAAATTCAATTGTATATATATATATATATATATATTAATCTAATTTTGGCATTAATTTATAATAGCGTTACATCTTATTTTACCTAAAATAGGGTTGAATTAACAAAATTTGTTTAATTCACCAAATTAATTTGTTGGCTTAATTTAACCTTCTTTTAAAGTTGAATGTAAATTTTGCTGATTCAGAAATTATTTTTTCAATTTTAATATTTCAATTTATTTCAATAAACTTCTTAATGGAAATGAAAAGTTTTTTTAAATGTTTTGAGTAAAGGGAAAATAAGGATGAATTATGCAAAAAAAATTTTGATTAAAATAAATATTACTTAAGATTGACTGAATTAAAATATTTTTTTCTCTGTTATTTTCATTTATTTTAATACTTATTTTTAGTGAAGGAAAATATTTAGTTACATAAACCAGCAAACATTTAAAACAGAAATAACCTATATATAGGCATTGGATTAATTAAGATTTCAATGAATCCAATGAAATGCAATCTTTCACATTTTTCGAAATTGGAACTATATAATTTTTATCTTTTTTATGTAAAGTTGTAGTTTGATTTCTAACGGTGTATAGTTTTAGATTATTGAGAAAATCCCTATATTATATTTATTTTTTACTCTCGGATCATACAGTTTATGTAAAAAAGTTTAAAATACTCTTATATATAAAAAGCTGATAAATATTTAACCACAAAATTATAATTTCGTACAGAAGGGTCGAGACTAAATTTTTAATAATTGTAACCGAATGTTGTGTAATATAATATAATTATATGAAATAATTATTGACACCAATTATAATTTAAATACTATATGCAAGTCATTCCACGAGAAATTTTCATTCACAAGTTTCTTTCCTCAGAACATTTTTTTGTCGAAATCTGTATGAAAAATAAGAAAATACGTATTTCTTTATTTGATAAAAATGAAGGAAGTTATGATTTTTTGAAATTTAACGTCATCAAAGGCAGTGTATTTTTGAAACATTTTTTTATCTATTGTTCTAATGAATAAAAATTTATGCTATACCTATATGAAATTTGGGTATAGGGAGTCAAAAGTGCCAATGCCAAATTTCCAAAATTATTATTTTTACAATGGATATTTTTCCAAATATTCTTTTTTCCAAAGGACATTTTTTCCAAAAATTATTTTAAAAAAAATGATAGTCAACTTTAAGAATGCAACGTCACGATTATTCACTTCATTTGTTGTTATTAAATTGTCAGTTATTAAACAAACATAATGTTTAGACAGCTTTTGATGTGCTCAAAACTAACGTACCTATAACGGAAGTAGCAAAAATGTTGAAATTAAAGTTAAAAAGTGAGTTTTCTCAAAGAGAGACACTTTCTTTTTAATTTTTTTTTGCACTGCAATCGCTGATGACTGAAGAATTTTTTTCCTTATCTGCAAAAGTGGTACTTTTGGTTTTTAAATTACTATTTTTAGTTTTTTAGTACGGCTCACAGCAGTTATTCTACAAATATAACCTTCTTCCCATAACATTCATTTTTTTTATTTTTTATAAATACATACTATAAATCTTTGCGCCTAGTTTAAAAATTGTAAATAGTAATTTAAAATCTAAAAGTACCACTTTTGCAGATAAGCGTAAAAATTCTTCAGTCATCAGGGATTGCAGTGCAAAATAAAATTAAAGACAGTAAAACCCCGTTTATCCGAGGTGGTGTCCCAGTTGGAAATTCTGTATTATCTGAGTGTAGTCTACGTCATCCGAGTTATTTTTAATTTTAGTTTTTTATGAATATAAGTTGTAATAAATAATAATTGTTTAAACAATAATAATGTTAAATTGTAATAACAATTCGGATTATCCGAGTTTTCGCCTTATCCGAGGTAGGTCCGGTCCACATTAGCTCGTCTAACCGGAGTCCTACTGTAGAAAGTTTCTCTCTTTGAGAAAACTCTCTTTTTAACTTTAATTTTAACTTCTTTGTTGCTTCCATTATAGGTACATTATTTTTGAGCACATATTTGAAAAATTTGAGGAAAAGTGAACAAATTTCATATACAGCATAATTTTTTATTCATTAGTACAATAGATAAAAAAATGTTTCAAAAATACACTGCCTTTGATGACGTTAAATTTCAAAAAATCATAACTTCCTTCATTTTTATTAAATAAAAAAATGCGTATTTTCTTATTTTTCATATAGATTTCAGAAATAATTTCAAGCAAAAAAAAATTTTGAATGAAAATTTCCCATGGTATGCCTCATATATTTATGATTAATATTATTGATGATTAATTGAAAAATAATAAATATATGTTTAAAATAAATTATATATTTATTAATTAATTTAACAATTTGAATTATATAAATGAATTAAATATGAATTCTGTTAAAAAATTTTATTTCGTTAAATAAATTTCAGAAAAATGTAATAATGGATAGAACACTTTTTAAAATTAATAGTAATAAATCTAAAAAATATTTTTAATAATTTAACAGTAACTAAATTGTCGCTACGCGGAGAAGTATACCCATAATTTCATTACTGCTCGTTCAAAAATATCAAAAGCTAGAAGTCTTGAAGAAAATCCGTACTGTGTTTGCTTTTTTTGTTTCGAAAAAACCTCAATAATAATTTCTATTAAATGTGCAACAAATGATTTTTCATGGCCAAATCACCCTTATACAAGATTATTAACAATCATTGAATTTTAATTCTGACACTTCTAAATTAAATACTCGCCAACTTCAGAAAGGATTTATGAATGATTAGAAATCGAATTGATTAATATTCAACAGTTTCAAATTAAAAAATGTACTATAAAAAGTTAAAAAAAACACAAAAATTGAGTTTATTCGAAAAACTCTCTACCGATTTTTTTCATCTTAGATTCAAATTACTTAGTAAATAATGTGGAATTGATATTTGAAAAGAGCCGAGATGGGTCAGTACCATCAATTCAATCAATTCAAAATTCAATTTATCTAAATTTTAATTCATCCAAATTTTCATTTTGAACTTAAGTGATACGTATTATTCAATTAATTCTAATTTTTATTTGTCAAAATAAAATTTATTAAATACAATTTTAATTAAATTCAAATTTTATTAACTGAAAATTAATGAAATTTTCTTCAGAATTTTTATTTATCCAAATTTTAATTGATTAAGGTTTTAAATTATCCGGATTTCCAGTTTTTCAAAATTTTAATTGATTTAAGTTTCAAATTGTCCGAATTTTAATTTATCTAAATTTTAATTTAAGTTTCAATTAACGTTGAAAATGTTATATTAGAGATCACCGGTATTATATTGTCAGATTGTCAGTTATCATAAGCTAGCTTGGCCGCGTAGTTAGCGACGGATGGTTTGCAAGGTTTATGTAGATCAAGGGTTTGATGCCCAGTGTGTGCGTGATTTTTTAATTGTATCTATGTATAGAGTAGGTGAGCCAATTATTATCATAGAGTTTTTTTTTTCAAAAATTTTCATTTTTTAATTTCCATTTTTTCAAAAATATATAATCAATTATTATACACTTGAACTTTTTTTCCTTATTTTTTATTAATCACTACAGCATAACCTAGCATAACACAACTCATCTTAATTGGTCATTTACACAGCTTTTTATTCCATTAGTATTAAGTACTTTGTATACGAAAGGATTTATTTGAAACCCGTATATGTTTGAAATAAATAAATAATGTTAAATTGTCAATATAGAAATTATGTATTTTTATGGGAAATAAAAAACTGAAGAGGACCCAAAGTAGGGTTGAAACGTCTTACAAAAGAAGAAACAAAAAAAAAATATAGTTTCAATTCTTTTATGATCCTAAATACCACGAAAAGTTCAACACCTTGGATCACAAAATAATGTCAAAAAATTTTCAGTAATATTGGAGACTTATTATTATCGTCTATTTATTAACAACTATAATGAACAGTGAGAAAATTAAAATTCTACACTCTAAAAATCTCTCCATCGATATAGAAAATTAAAAATTAAAATTATTAGAAGCAGTAAAAGGAAAAATATGATTCTTTATCTTTTTTTTAGTGTCTAAAAATCCTGTATCATTTGAAACAGGGGAAGAATTTTGGGAAAGTGAAATATCAAAAAACTGTTGAGATTTATTTTCCTATAGTGCAAAAAATCAAAAGTGATCACGACGCACCAAACACAGAATCCAAGTTGTCCAGGAGGCGACGGAAGTGGAGGGGAAGGTGGTGGTTGTCGAGGTGAAAAATTGCTGCCCTATGCTGCTGTAGCAAATGTGATAAAAGAGGTGGTACACCAGGAGGCGGAGGTCGACGAGGTTAAGATGGAAGCAGAGGATCACCTCGCCAGAGAATACGTTCAAGAGTTTGTTCTCGACCATCTTGATCCCGCCGACGTCAAGCGAGAGGTGAGTTTCACATTTCAAAGCTGAGAATTTACATCAGATAATTTGGAATAAAATACATAAAGAAGAGCATTTTCAACATAATTCTAATTGTAAGTGAACCAGAGTTAGAAAAGTATAATTTCTATTTTCCAATGTACAAGAATTTTGTTTATATATATATATATATATATAAATCTTAAATTCTGTAAGATTTCACATTTTAGTAAAGGATTTAGATTTTAGAGGGATATTTTCCACAGTCATGGTATGAAACATCTTACCTGATCAGGCTCTGATGTGGGTTACCTATTTTAATAATATAATAAGAGTCTCTTGTTTTTATCAAAAATACTCTATAATATAATAGTCAAAATGATAAAGACATTAATAATTAATAAAAGAAAAAAAAATACACACTGAAAAAGTAGGTTCAGCTTGAATAGCGTACACTGTGCCCTGATTAAGGCCAAATCGTCTTCTGGGTTTTCCAATTTATTCAAGTTTTTTATTTAAATTATTAAGTTAAAAATTTATAATTTCATATTCCATATCCAATGTTTTACGTTCGTTTGCATAATTACGAAGCGTACAGTGGTTAATTACAATAACTCACAATGCTGTTGAAAATTCCTAGAAAGGATCATCACACATTGGATCATATATCGAGTTCCTTTATAAGTTCCCTCGCATTTTCCTGTGTGAGTTATATGCATAGGATATTATTGTAAAGGATATACTGTAAAGAATTTGTGTGTGAATTTGCATGGGTTCCTGTATGTTGGAACTATTAATAACAAAGAATATTATGATGTTTCCTGTGTTGATTTCCGAAATGAAAACACTTATTAACCTGGTACAAAGTGGAGTAACAAAAAACGAAGTGGACAAACAATTCGGAATTGTACAATCCACATTTTCAATTATTATAAATAATAAGGATCGAATTATATCAATTGCAAGCGAAGGAAGAAAAAATGTTAATTTTTAAATTTAGAAACATGTTGAATGTAATGGTTTCAAGTGTTCTAGATCAAAACATTCCTATCGAAGAGGACTTTACTGCTAGTGATGGGTAGCTAACTAATTTTAAAAAAGATGACATAACATTGTTTTCAAGAATCTGTATGGAGAAAGTGCAAGAGTTGATATGATTCAGTTTGTGCAGAGTGCAAAGGATAAGTGCAGCACTTTTTAGAAAATTACGAGCCTCAGAATGTCTTCAACACAGATGAGACAGGTCTTTTTTTAAGTGGCTTCCGGATAAAACGTTAGCATTTAAAGATGAAAAATGTCACAGTGGTAAACATTGCAAGGAGAGAATAACAAATATAAATGGAACTGAAAAGTTGTAATAACTGGCAATTGGCAAATTGAAAACACCACGTTGCTTCGAAATTGAAGATGAATCTTTTTCAGCCCTTATGTCAATAAAAACTCTCAAAATAAATCACGTTAGAGTGCATTTAAACAATATAAAATTACAGATCATGTGCAGACATGATAAAAAAATACAATCAGTATCCTTATTTAATGAAACTCTATTAATTTAAATTTTCCCAAACTTCCTCTCTATAATTAAAAAATTCAATAAATAAAACTCTCTATAATTTGAACTACTTTTGGTGCTCTTTGAAATTCTAATTATCGAGAGTCGACTGTTTGTAGATAATCTACACCTAGTATGTATACTATATATATTTTGATATGTATGGTTTCCCTAACATTGTGGGATGAAAAAGAATGTATTTCGCAGTCGAGAAACTTATAGAGAACTACTGTGCAGGATGTTACAAAAATTAATTATTTCAGGAAACCATACAAGATCATAAACAAGTGCACAGAAAAAACCTGTATTACAAGTATATCTAATATTATGAATTTTCAGTATTGACAAATTCTTAGTGATTAAGATACTTAATTTTAATGTGGGATGGGGGATATCCGGAATTATAGAATAGCAGAATACGGAATGTAGAGTAGTGGGATCAAGAATATGGGATTGCGAGGTCCGGAATACGAGGTGCAACAAAAATGAGACTTGGTTTTTTCTGTGTAGTGGTATGCCGGAATCGGGAATATGTGCTGCGCAATGTCGACTTCGTTGGGCATCTAAGGCGTTATAAACGTACAAAATTAGCCATGGTTTTAACCATTTAGGAAACCTAATTAAGGCTCTTAAATATCTCTTAAGGAGTTAAAAAATTTGACTATTTAAATGTTCTAAAAACGTAAAATATTGTTCCTCCTGAATTACTAAAAATGTTAAATATAGTTCCTCCAGAAATCTTAAGATAACAAAAAAATACACTTGAAATTCTCCAGCAACTACAAACTTGTATAAGTTTTATCTGAATTATTAAGATCCTTAAAAACCTGTTTGTAAATTATCTAAACCAACCATTTTTATGTTTAATTCCAAGTAAATCTCTAAAATTTTAAACCATGCGTTACCTTGACATCTTTCAGGTACGTCTAATCTCACCGGCAAGCATGGTGAATCCAAACGGACAACTACCAAGTCAACCACATGGGCTCACTTTGGCTCCATTGACACCACCGGCGCATGAATTGGAGCAGCCTCATCCTCTCTATGGCCAGCCTCATATCCAAGTGCAACATGGGGTCCTTGTTAAAGCGCCGCCTGGTGCAGCTTCTCATCTGACGACACTCTCGCATCCTGGCACACCACCTGATACACCACCTGTTTCGGCTTCACCACCACCATTACAATTACATCGTGGGGAACGTGATCACAGGGATAGAAATGGTTTATTGTTGCAACTTCAACAACCGAGTTCATTAGTGCAAGATGAGATACCAGTTGGATCGGGAGGTATGGGCTGGCTCACGCAGTCTTTGAGGCAGGAACCCCTGGACTTAAGACCACACTGTCCACAGGATCAAACACCAGAACCACCTCCCGAGCATTGGACTTCGGCACCTTCGCACCATCACTTTCAGGAATTGCAACATATCCCGCGTCATATGAGGCATGCCGGTTAGTATTTCTGATTATTTATTTTTTAGGTTAATGATCACCAAGTTCTTTTTGGTACTAAATATTAAAGATTTAATATAAATTAAATAATAAATAACAATTGCACTTTTAAAAATATTATAAATGTTTATTTAAAGATTAATAATAGAAAATATAAAGTTTTACACTAAAGTTTAGAGTCTCAATCGTACTAAATACGAAAGTTTTATAATACGAATTTTTAAATCAGACTCGTTCAATTCAAAATGATACGAACAATTATGGTTATGATTACTTATCGAACAGTAAATTTGTTGGTCTCTCTTAAAGACGAACTGAAGTTCTCACAAACACAAAACTCTGTAATGTGACTTGACGCTCGCACTCTGTAACTCATTTCTGGTCAATTAATTTAAAAGCATTTGAAATGAAATAAAAATTTAAAATTACAATATTTATCATAAAGTGCTTAACAGTAGAGGAAAAAATAAAACCTAATTTTAAAAGCTTCCTAAGCTGTTAATATACAGTAGTAGATTCTGATGATCGCGCATGAGGGAAATGTATATACTCAAAAGAATGACCCTCCCAGTGGTGGATTGAGATTTATTTGGTATTGTTGAAAAGTAATTTGTACCTCTTCTAACACTTCTACAGGAGACCTCCTCCTTCGACGAAAGCAATGTGAACACTATAAAGGAAGAGCAATTTGAAGCTCTTTTTGTCCAAAAGATGTCTTTCTGACTTAACCCATAATGTCAAAAATTTGCAAGTTCCAAAAATGATGACTCTTTCGTTAGTTTTATCTTTATTATTGAAGGAGTCGTAAATAAAAAACTTCTTTATTACCTTTGTTTTTCTGTTCGGCTGTCGGACAACACTTAAATGTGCTAAAAACTATGGTTCAGGGAAGTTCTTCTCAATGCACAGTGGTCCGAATCGCAAATCTAAAGTCAAAATTTGTATGTTTTTAAATTACTTTACAATACTTGTAATACATTTCTGATGATATACACTACCGTCAGAAATTGTGCTACCTCTGCTTTTTCGACGACTATAAAGTGATTATATCTGGGTCAGTCCACTGACTTTCGTTTAATAGTGGTTGCGACCAAATTTTTAAAAAATCTAGTTTTAATATATGTGAAACTCGATGATTCCCTGAGTTCATTAACCATAATATTATGTTAAAAATTTTATTCCCTTTAAAAATATTAAATATCAAAAGTAGGAGGTTCACAATGTGATTTTGTAACCTTAAATTTTTCAATTTTTTTAAAAACGCTATTATTAAAAAACTATTAAAAATTAGATGTTGGAACTCACCAAAAACATAAATCACTTTATTCTGCACAGAGGAACGAAAGAATTATTGCAAAAATTTATTATTTTTGGATGATATACGATTTTAAAAAAAAAATTTATTTAAATATTCTCAAGATTTTTCTTTACTTATAACTTTTTTGTCGGTGCTCCGAAAAAATTGAGGTTTTGCACAAAGATTTTTTATAATATTCTTTACCTTCTATTAAAATCTTACGAAGGTGTTTTGCTTCGTTTTGGAGATAATAATTTTAAAAAAATTTTATGTAAAAGGTTAATTAAAAGACTTGAAGTTAACTAACCAAATTCAAACTGCTCCATTTTTTATAAAAATATATTCAAATGTAGCAGTTTGAATTTGGTTAGTTAACTTCAAGTCTTTTAATTAACCTTTTACATAAAATTTTTTTAAAATTATTATCTCCAAAACGAAGCAAAACACCTTCGTAAGATTTTAATAGAAGGTAAAGAATATTATAAACAAGTTGTAAATTCAGATGTTCATTACATGAACATTTTGCTTCCTCTTTACGATCAGCAAAACAATTTGCTTCCTCGTGGAGAAAGCAAAATTTTATTGCCAAAATGTCAATTTTTGATTTTTTAACTTTCATTAATTCTTTAAATTTACTTCAAATGTATACTTTATATATATATCGATCGATTCGTCTTGACGTAAGAAATACAATTATTTCATATATAAACTTCAATTTAAAAAATCACAAAATTTTATAGCCTAAATGTGAAATTTTGATTTTTTTACTTTCATTAATTTTTTAAATTTACCTCAAATGTATACTTTATATATATCAATCGATTCGTCTTGACGTAAGGAAAGCGATTTTATTATATATAACCTTAAATTTTTCTATTTAAAAATTTTTTCGATTAAAAAAAAATTTTTGGAAAAAAGACGATAAAATTTTTTTTTTGAGATATTTTTCAAAATCCTTTGGTCAGATTTGAGATATTAATATGATAAATGAGCCTACCAAATTTTATCTAAATCCATTAAAACCTGTTAAAGTTATCTTCTAAACAAAAAAGGAATCCACACACACACACACACACACACACACACACACACACACACACACACATACACACACATGTTTCTATAAAGAAAAAAATTTGTTTCCGCCACTTTGAAAAGTTTTATAAATGAAAGGACTACAAAGCTTCCTCCACGAGGAAGCAAAAATCTTTGTGCAAAACCTCAATTTTTTCGGAGCACCGACAAAAAAGTTATAAGTAAATAAAAATCTTGAGAATATTTAAATAAAATTTTTTTTAACCCGTTGCCTGTCGCTGACGCATACCGTGGATGTCCCAGTTGCCGTCCACCTAAGACCTAATTTCCGTCCAGTTTAATTTTCAAAATAACATTTATAAAAAAATTATTTTCTTTTATTTGTTTACTTAAACTAATAAGTCGATTGCGTGCCAAAAGGAATAAATTATTGTTAAAAAATAATTTAAATTACTATACGAGATATTTGTAAAATGGACGGATACTGGGACATGGACGGTAACTGGTACATCCACGGTATATGCATAAAACTAAAACTGGCCAAAAGTGCTCTTTACGCATATATGCGCAACTTAAAAAAAATGATGAAAAACATCTCAAATATTTCTGAAACTGGTTACACGAGGGTTTTTGGGGTCGCTGATTCCGAATCTGAGGTCGGTTTTCTAAAATTCAAAATGGCGGAGTCGCTGATTACGAATCTGATGTCAGTTTTTTAAAATTCAAGATGGCGGATCCATTATGGCGGAAAATTTTTCAAAATTGATCGGATTCGACTGAAGTAACAACTTTCAAGCGAATCTGATTAATTTTGAAAAATTTTCCTCCATATTGGATCCACAATTTTGAATTTTGGAAATTTAAAAATTTTGATTTCAGATTCGTAAACAGCGAGCCCGTAAACCCCCGAGTAACCATTTTCAAGCAAATTGCATTACACTTTCAAATTGTCGTCCGCCATATTCGATCCGCCATTTTGAATTTTGAAAAACCGACCCTGAATCAGCGACCCTGAAAACCTTAAGACACCAAGTTTCATAAAAATTCATTAAAATTTTTTTCAACACACTTTTGGCCCAAATAGTGGAAATCTCGTCGACAGTCAAGGGGTTAAAATCGTATATCATCCAAAAATAATAAATTTTTGCAATAATTCCTTCGTTCCTCTGTGCAGAATAAAGTGATTTATGTTTTTGGTGAGTTCCAACATCTAATTTTTAATAGTTTTTTAATAATAGCGTTTTTAAAAAAATTGAAAAATTTAAGGTTACAAAATCACATTGTGAACCTCCTACTTTTGATATTTAATATTTTTAAAGGGAATAAAATTTTTAACATAATATTATGGTTAATGAACTCAGGGAATCATCGAGTTTCACATATATTAAAACTAGATTTTTTAAAAATTTGGTCGCAACCACTATTAGACGAAAGTCAGTGAACTGACCCATCTGCAAAAATATTAAATATAAAATTTTTTCTTTTTTTATTTTATGAAAGCTAATAAAAGTCTGAAATAAAGGACACCTTGACAAAGAGAATATGTTAACTTTTCAATTAGATATCTAAGAAAAACCCAATTTTCAATGATTTTACTATTTTTTTTAATTTCTCTAGCAAAAATTAATATTTTTAAATGTTCTTAGGCTTATTGGAATCGTATTTTGTTATACAATTCAAATTATTAAAAACAATTCATGTCTACATTCTTCCCTAGCGTATGCAAATCGAGAAAATTGGCTCAAAAAAAGTCAAAAAATTATTATTAATATTTAAATGACAAATAATGATCAGAAAATAATGTAAATCTTAAATTTACTTACATAATTTTTAAACATTACATTTTGTTGTAAAATGAACTTTAATTTTTTGGGACAACTTTCACGGTTTGCATACGCTAGGGAAAAATTTGAACATGAATTGTTTTAAATATTTCGAATTACATAACAAAATACCATTCCAATGATCCCAAGAACGTTAAAAAATATTAATTTTTGACAGAGAAGTAAAAAAAAATTAAATTATTGAAAATTGGGTTTTTCTTAAATATCTAATTGAAAAATTAACATATTCTCTTTATCAAGGTGTCAATTCTTCAAAATGAATCTAAAGACTAATCTAATCATTGAAAAACTGAATTAAAATAATTGTAAATGTAATAATTGTATTCAATTTTTTGCAACTTATAATTCATTGCTTTTTCAAAGTACAAAAATGTACACAATTAATGTGACCGCTAATATGAACTTCAATTAAGATTACATTTTACTCTAAAACACGATCATAAAATTTGTTTCATAGTAATTCCTTTACGATTTAAAACAAATCACGTAAACTAATTGCACTCACTTAAAGGAAAATATTAGCGTTTTCTAAGATGTTTAGAATTCATTTTACTTGATAATCATTTCTAAACTTTTTGGGATAGAAACCTAAAATTTTCTATTTGTTCTTTTCCAATTGTTCTATACTCCCCAGTGTGCACAACCTGTAACTGTTCTACAATGGTTATTGAAAAAAAATTTGTAACAGTTCTATAACTGACCTGTAACAGTGTTTGCTGGGTTTCGAAAACATATAGGACAATTTTTTTTCTTCTTTCTGTTTAAAAGTTACAAGTCTTCAAAAATTCACTGTTTAAATTTTTCAAAAAAATTCAACCCCTTCCTCTTCGACAGTTTTTGAAAAAACCTAACAATACGAAAGGGCATGTCCCGTTATGTACCAAATAAATAAATAAATAAATACTTCGTGGTTAAATTACTCACCCCTAGGGCTAAACTATATGCAAGTTACAGCCCGACCCGATCAACTTTTTTTTTCACTTAGTTCGCTACAGGAATTTTACCCCACATATACCTACTTAAAGAAAAAAAAGGATTAAAATTTTTATAATTTTAATAATATAATTTTTTCATAAAAAACAACACTTTTGTAAAATAATTATGTATTTAACTAATTAAAATTTTTCAAAATTTGTACCATTTATTATCTTTACTAATTATTAGTTTTAAAAATTAATGTCATCAAAGTGGCCAGCAAACCATAAAATATTAAAAACCTGAAAAACGACGTTCATTAAAAAATTATTTTTACTTTAAAACTACAATGTTGAATATGTAGTTTCTGTTAAATTTTTTATATTTATGGAATCCTTGGAATTTTTTTAAACGGCAAAACGACAGAAAAAAAATTCACAAACTGTTTTTGAACGCGATCTATTGATCAACTCGTGTATTACGTCGGTAATATGCATAATATTTTAAAGTAACAACTATAATAGAGTATACCATGACAGATAAATACACTTCTCTTAAAAAAATAAAATCGGAAAAGTGCGAGTTACACTCGCACTGAAATCGAGGGTTCCGTACTCGAAGCGAACTTATTTGGTATAAAAACAAATGTTTAAAAAATATGTGTTGTATGTTAAATAATATATGTGATACAAAAAGGAACATAATAATAATAAGAGCTTAATTATCCAATAATATTGCATAAATCGACTCAGAAATCATTAATTTTTACATCCCAATAGCAATTTTACCAATATTTCAATTATTTTTTGCAACATATTGCCTCAAACCCAAACGAATCGAAACTTGACCGAGCTCAGTCAACTTCTCGGTTTACACAATCCATATGCTTCCATTTTTTTCCTAAAATAAAAATTCGTTGTAATATTATCTCAATACTATCCAGCAATTTTGCTGGTACCCTGCCCTAATATTGCAATGTAATATTGCAAAGCTTACCATGCAATACCGTGACAAGTTTCGTACAAGAACTTGTGATATCTGAACAATAATAGCGAAATCCAGTTTGCATTCTAAAAAAGATAATAAAACATAACTTTACTATAACCAATTTGGCATAAAAAAAATTAAACAATAATGTATTTATTTTTTCGATGTATTTATAATGGAGAGGAGACAAGACAAATTTTGTTCTTGCCTCGTCTTGCATCACTGTCACTCAATTCCTCAATGAGTTTAGACTACAAATGAATGAGGTTATTGTAAATATTATCCACACGTCTAATTTTGCTTAATGCGTAAATATTTATTATAAAAATTGTGTAAAACGCATTGAATCGATTATTTCTTTTCCAAGAACTGTATTCTTGTAATATTCCACATTCTTTTCACATGTTGAGATGGCATTTTTTTTTAAATGTGTAGAAAAAATTTAAAGAAAAACTTTATTAGTGAATAAGGATGATACAGAACATTAGGGTAATTTGGAGTTTATCTTTCCTATATTTAAATTGTAAATAGTCCAATTAAACATTTTGATATAACGCAACGATTTGAAATAAGATTCTTAGAAACTAAAATTATCTTGTAATGGAGATTTTATTTAAATACATAGTTAATTTACTAATCAATTGACAATCTTTGTTTATTCTACTTTTTAATTCCTCGGCTATGTCTATCTAAATCAATTCATTCGATAAGCATATTTTAAATTCATTCATACATTTCATTAATTCATTCATCTAATACTTTACAAATTTTCTTCTTCTTCTTCCAAATTCAATTATCCAAAGATGTATATAAGCACTAGACTTCTTTAATAGATTTCGATTAATGCTAGAATGAACGGCTCTGATACTAACCGAGGTCGGCCGACCAGAAAAAACTAATTACTTTTTTCGTTTCGTATAAAGTTCTCCTTCAAGGAAATTCAGGTAACCTAAAATCATACCTTCTTTCTCATGTCTTTAAGAAGTGCTTAAATAAAAATTATAAGGCGGTAATAAATTATTGAAAATATTAAATTTGTATCAATTACTATCGGTTTGTTAGTCGACTTACTCTTAGCTGACACGTAGTGACGATTAAAAGAAAATATCTTTCATTAAGACTAGTTTACTTAAATTAATATTGACTTAATTGGGTAAAATAAAGGAATATTTCTGGTTATTAACTATGAAATTATGTAGCTAACGTAACTAATTTGAAACATGGAAGAGGATATCCCACTATATCTTTGCTGTAAAAATCCTGAATTACTAAAATTAAAGCCACTTTTCCAGCAATGAGAGTGCGACTAACTTCCCTACTGAAACCTATCCAAAGACGTAGCTACAGAAAAAAGTAAGCTAACTTAATACACGAAAAACCGTTGAAAGGTTAGATTACATCTGAAGTCAAAACAATTAAACTATTGTGGATCGGGAATATCAATAGATGGTCTCGAACCCAAAATTTAAAAAAATACTAAATCAACCTTTTGTGACATTAACCTTAAAAAATCGTGATAACTTTTAAGGTTCAAGAATTTTAAAAGAAAGTTGCTCGATCTGTATTTTTTAGGTGGTTACATCACAATGCCAAGTCACCTGGATTATTATGGTGGTGGAGGTTCAGGTCCAGGGGGTGGAATGTTACCAGGTGGTGGAGTTGTTATGCAATCGATGGATGACAGTATGCAGGGAATGCCAATGCAACCCGGAAGGCCATTGAGTGTTTGCTCAGTGAGTTCCTGCAGTGCAAATGGTCAACCCCACGGGCAACCAAAAGGCATCAGCAGCTCGTACTCTAATTGCGGCAGCAATGGCTCTTCCGTGCTTATGTCTGACGAGGTCCTCATGTCGCTTTCCGTTCGCGAATTGAACAAACGTCTTCAGGGGTATCCAAGGGATGAGGTGAATACCTAAATTTTTTTTACTTATTCATTTTCTTCATTTTTTATTTCTCCGTTTCATATTTTTTCTAAATCTTTCAACTTCTAATGATTATCTAATCGTCTTTCTTTGTCTCATCTCTTCTAACTCTTTTGGGTTTTTTTTCATCCTTCTGAAAGTTGTATCATTCCTCTTCTTAAAAAAAATTTGCATTTTATTTAAAAATGATTTTTGCCGAAAAAACAAAAGGAAATGTAAAATTAATGAAGCAGAAACTCTGTTGCCATCAGGTGGTTCGTTTGAAGCAGAAGAGACGCACTTTAAAAAACAGGGGTTACGCACAAAATTGTCGCAGTAAACGACAACAGCAACGTCAGGATTTGGAAACAACAAATCAAAATCTACAAAATAAATTGCAACGAATGCAATTAGAAATTGACCAAATTCGACAGGAACGTGATTTATATAAGCAACGATGGGAAATTTTAAGGGTACGACAAAATCATAATCATCATAGTCATAATCACAATCATAGTCATCATCAGCCCCCGCCACCACCACCATCACAACAACAACAGCAGCAGCAACAACATCAAGCTCAAAATCAACATCATCAACAACATCAACCTGCACCTGCAAGTCCTGAGGTTTATCTGTGACAAAGACAACGTCGAGGGGGTGCTTGCTGGACTTGAAAAATCCTCTCGCGTTTCCATTAAATTGGTGAGTAATTTTTCAATTCGTGTGTATAGAAACTTAAATATATTAAATATTCTATGTATAAAGACGGATAAAATTATATTTCCGGAAGAAAAAATTCTATCGATTTCTCAATTGAAGCTTTTCTTTAGTCAATATAAAGTAAAAATTGTGTGTTTGACATTACATTTTACTATTACATAAAAATACGTTCAGAAAAAAATAATATCATACTTAAAGAAAATTTTTTTATCTTATCACATTATCCTCTTAAAAGAAAATTATCTTCCTTCTATGGAAAAGATTTCATTCCCTATTTAGTATGGTCCATTATATAGGCTTTTTCTCTTTTGATAAAAGTTTTGATTCAATATATTGAGGGAAATAATCTTAAATTTTTCTTATAATTTTTACCTCACTGTTAAAAAATCAAAGCTCTGTTTGAAAAAAATGTTTCAAATAATCTATTCGAAAATTTTACGAAAACAAACCTAAAATGATCTGCATTCGTAAAAAATCATTTCGAACGAAAAAGACAAATCTGAAATCAGTTCAGTAATTCTATGAAAATAGACCGCAATTAGCTGGCATAAATTTTGTTTTAGTTTTGATAATGATCTTAATCCTAAATGAGCCTAGAAAAATCAAGAATATATATTCACAAAATCAACAGTTAGTACGATATAAAATTAAAATTTGAAATAATCCGAAATCTGTATCTACACGAAGAGATTGTACGGAGAAACATCTTGATTGTAGTGGGTAACATAACTATATTTTTTGTTACATCTTTGATGGTACAGAGTAGCATAATGGTGGTACCGGATAACATCTACTTTTAACCATATTAAGATCATAAGATCTTACCATCTATTTCTCTCCTTGTAGAGATCACTCCAAATTTAGTTTTGTTTCGAAATGTAAGAAATTCGTTCTTTGTGCGTAATAGTTTGCAAAAAGTGCGGTTCAAAATCCTAATCCTATATGAGTCCGCAATAATCAAGAATTTAAATATACACAATTTGCAAATAAACAATTTTTGTCTGGTGAGAAATATTAATTTAAAAAAGATTCCGAATAATCCACATTTTGTATGTACAAAATCCGTAATTAATTAGCAACAATCTGCAGTTTATTATGCTCACTAGTTTCTGACAGTTACGCGCTAAATGCTAACTTTTTTTCATACAGATTATAGATTTGGTTTTTTCACCTGTCTAAATTGAGACTATTTTGTATTAAATGCGGATTTCTTACAAATCAATTTCTGATTATTTCGAATTATAATTTCAAATTTGAATAGTGCTTTTTCAAAATTAGTCCGAAATTTTAACCAGAACAACAATCTAGATTCAGTGCGTTCAAAAATTTGTTTCAATAAGAAATGCACAATAGTTCGGCATCCATGGTTAAAATTCCAGACTGCTTTCGGACTAATACTAAATTAGTCCGGGACAGTCCGGTTTATGGTCAGATTTTTGTCATCGGGAATTAGTCCGGTTAAGTCCGAAATTTGACAGATTTGTGTAACTAGTGAATCAGGAATTAATTAGACCTAATTCGAAGTCAGTCCAATCAAACGTAACTAATGAATGCAGATTCTTAATTTACTAATTATACTGGTCAGATTAACTTTTGATTCAACGGAAGTAATTTCACATTCACTAGTTGTGTATAATCAAATTAAGTTCTGACTTGACAAGACTAATTCTGGATGACAAACATCTGACTATAAACCGGACTGCTTCGGATTAATTCTATATTTCGGAATTTAGATTAATATCATTTTCTATGAAAATAATAGTACTTTACATCAACATTTCTTAAAAGCGAAATTATCTATAGTTTTGCTTTACAAGATTGACACTTGAAGTATAAATTGTCCAATTTTTTACATAAATATGTTGCTATAAAATTTAATAAATTTTCGTAAATCAGATTCAGGAGGTTGTCTATTAATAATAATATTTCTACGATATCTCTAGGGAGTCTCTTGAAAATATCCCTAAATTTTCATTGAAATAAAGTTTTATCAAATTACAAAAAAAAAATATTAAATTAAATTTTAGAGAAATAATAAAGACTTATTTATAAACCGTATAAATTTTCTTATTGACAAATGAAAGCTTCAATTTAGTGATTACGATAAAAGCCTGGAAACTGGTTTCAAATTGAAAAAGTATGATTAAGTGCAATAAGTTCGTCCCTGTTGTGATTATGTTAATAATTATAAAAAAATTATCTTTAGGTCGTATTGATCTTGTGATCTTTGACTAACCTCTAAACAATATGTATGTGGGGTATCAGCAATGTTATAATATTCTTTATCGAATGCTGTCCAATGTTTACAATGTTTATTACATTGAAAGCTTTGCCATTACATTGAAGTATTATTTGCTATTAAATTGTTATTCGCGAAACGGAGAAACTCAAAAAATATTATTTTTCTAATATATTTCGCGAACAAAATTTATATTATTTTACTATTACAGTAATTAAAAATATAATTATTATTTAATTACTCATTTATATTTCATTTCATCATTTAATAATAATTAATAATGATCATTCATAATAACTAACATTATAAATTTTATTGGATTGTATATTTAATTTAATTCTGTTGATTGAATTATTACTTATTATATATTTAAGTTATTAATTCAATTTAATTTATAATTAATTAATTAATTAATTTGGTAATATAATTCATTGATTTATACACTTAATTACTTATTGTAGTAATTAAAAATTAATGACCCATTCACAATTATACTGAGATAATTATTTCCTAAATGAATATAATTTTTCAAGCCAGTTTCCTGACTTAAAAAATATCATCCAAAAATTAAATTCCAGCAGGTATGACATTCTCTCGGCTTGCGAAAAAAGAAAGAAAATACTTTTTTCGTTATTTGTAAATTGAAATGTTGTACAAACGTTACCAATTTTACGATTGAAAGGTATAAAAAAAACTCTTTTCTGGTAGGCTGTGTCTTTTCCGAAAGAATCCTTTTGCCATATAATTATTACCTATTAATTAACTTCGTCGAAAATCTCTTCACCTTGAGCGAGTTTGTGAAAAAAAACATGAGCAAACATTTTTTTACTAAAATTTAACCCTTAGAAACATTATAGAAAGAAAAAAATTAGAATATTCAATTTTATTTTTAATTAATATTTAAAATTTTTATTAAATGTATTTTCTGATATAAATTTAAATGATATGAAAAAATTATTCATTGAATGATTGAAGTTAATGCATATTAATTTAATGGTAATTAATAATATTGAAAAATAATAACATATATTGGCAAATTATAAAAATAGTTATAAAAAGTTATAAAAATTGAATAATAGTGGAAAAATGCAAATAATGTTTAATTAAATTGATTATTATAAATTTTAATATTATTTTGATTGTTATTAATGTTGTTATTGTTCGCATTGAAATTGAAATTATTAAAAGTTTTTTTTCTGTTTGGTATTGTTTTTTTCGTATATTTTTCATCTGTTTCTGAGGGTTAAGTATAAATTGTTATTTTAGATATAAAAATATTTTATTTTGTTGATTTTGAAAAAAAAAATTTATTATGAATTTTGTTGTAAAAAATTCTATTTTTATTAGGGACATTTTTTTCATATCTGTTGTTTATTTTTTCTTTATATTTATTTATCAATAAATTGTTAATCATTTATAAATGCGTAGATTTTGAGAGAAATTATGGTTTTGGAGAAATTTAAAGATAACAAATGTATGGAGAGAAAAGACTACGTTCGACAATTTACAGTAGAATTTTCTTTAAAACAATTATAAAATTTAATTAATTAATTACATTAATCGATTTTTTAAAATACAATTTTAATGATATGTAGCATAAACTCGCTTTAAAGTCGATGACGGTGCTTATACCGAATAAGTATTTTTCTTACAATATACATATAAGGATTGTGACATATATAATACGGTTATATATAATTAGACAAGAAACAAGACGATGTCAGAAATATAATTTATGTTATTAAAAAATTTTATAAAAAAGAACAAATAAACAAAAATGATAATAATATGTGTTTTATTTTTGTGACAAAGATGGGAAAAATAAATTTGAGTCTTATAATACATTACTTGTTTCTTGCTTGGCGACTATTGCTGAGAAAAGGGCCTTGAAAAATTCTAATTTTTTAATTTTTGAAAATTTTTTGATATATCAAATACAGTTCACATTTTTTTTACTTTTTCTGAACACATTTATTTATTTGTTTAAGTATACGGGCAAGGAACAGTGAATGAATTTTTTTAATTTATTGCTTATTTATTATATATATTATTATTATATTTATAATATAAATATTATTTGTCCAATGTTATATTATTACTTTTAAAATAATAATACTAACAACATAATAATATTTATTTCAAAACATGTTAATAATATTTGCTTTTTTGTTAAACAACATAGGTATTATTACAAAACAGTTGGGATTAATTGAAAAATAAATATTTAAAACCACATAACAGTAATAGGCCTTATGTTTCAAAATTCATGTTAAATATTATTAATCATTAACTCTCTAATTTTTTTCTTTTTAAAAACAGATTTAAATTTTTCATATATGGCATAATTTTTAATTTATTAATACAGTAGATAAAAAAAATGTTCTAAAAACGAACTGCTTTCGTTGACGTTAAATTTCAAAAAATCATAACTTCCTTCATTTTTATCAAATTAAAAAATAAAAAAATACGTATTTCCTTATTTTTCATATAGATTTCGAAAAAAAATGTTTTAGGCAAAAAAAATTTTGAATGAAAATTTCCCGTGGAATGCCCCATACATACCTACGTGCAAACTAATTATGATTTTCACAAATTTTTCAAGGCCAACAATTTTAATGCAAGTTGTATCATTTGTAAATCTGTTAAATGCAGATAAAAAAGACAAAGTATCATTAGGTTAAAATATTTAAAATACAAACTAGCTGTACCCGTTTATGTAAAAAAAATATTAAAATACATGGTGGAGAGATCGACGATACAAAATTCTTGTAGTTATATAGAGAGCTGCCAAAAATGTTCTGACTCTGCGTATGCACAAAAAGAATTTATTTGAATTTCATATTAATTATTAATAAATTTACAATCTCCTCATATCGATAAAATATTTTGCTATATATTAATAAAATCGAATGCTTTCAATTGTATTAACGATATTATATATAAGTTTACATTCAATATATTGTTTATCATTTGATCAAAATGACCACAAATATTACCTCACTCTTTTATAACTCAATATTATAACTTAAATGAATTTCAAACGAGTTATCAAAAATATCGATCTTATTAATAAAAAATATCAAACTTATTATATTATTAATTTTAAATAACAAAATTCCATATTAACAAAAAAAAGCACACGTTGTTTTTTGTCCAATTGCACGATAAACAAGACGCCTAAGGAAGTAAACTGGAGTAAAACCAAAGACCAAATATTGAATGTTAAAAATACTGGATATATTTTGATTATGTTTGAGGGAAATTTATATTATTATATTTTATAACATTATTTAAAAATATTAAAAATTTGGAACTAGTGAACTAGTTATTTAAAAATACTCAACTTGAAAAATGTGTCTTAAATAACCCAGAATATTTCTTTTCCATCCGCTATTGGTGGTTGGGCGGCAAAAGCCTACTTTCCGCCGGCTGTACCTGCACGGAAAGTCGCGTTTATCGTGCATGTAGAACAAAAAATTTATTTAAATTAAATAAAAATATATCAAGAATGCAATTGTGTAATTTCATTTTAAGTTTCACTTCGACTGATATTTTTCACATAAATGTGAAAAGTAAAAGATTATTTGAATCAAATAAAAATTTTATTTGTCGTAAATAAAATTTTTCTTTAAATCAAATTAAATTTATTTACAAAATAACAAAATCAGTATAAATATTTCGATGTTTATATCATAATGATATAATGATAAGTATCATTGTTTAAAAAAATTCAATTTAAGTTTATTCAATTAGTTTTTAAATAAAAACACTTTTTTGGAATAGAGATAAGATTGTTGATTTACATATATTTAATAAATTTAACAAATAATTAACAGTAAAATCTTTTTGTGCAAACTTGAATCTTAAGCATTTTGTCTTTCTCTGTATTGTACCAAAAAAAATGTCGTAGCGCAAAGAATTTGTAGTTAAAGATTATTTAATTTTTTTATTACAGAGATGTTTATATTATAAAATAATTATACTTTCATTTATCTAAAAATTCCTTCTATAAAAATTAATTAATGCGATAATTCACTTGAAAAAAGTATTTTACTGAACATAATTTTTTGTTAAAATAAAAAACGATTATTATTCTAAAATATATGTAGATATGAATATTAATTATGTTGATTTTTATTTGTTATTTTCTAAGAATTAATTTTTAATTATTAATTTTAATTTTAAAAGTGAAAGAAATGTTAAAAAAAACAATATTCGAAAATTGTTTTATTTCCACATGTATGTTATTGCAGATCCATAATTATAAAAAAATCGATTGTCTTTTGAGGTTTTTGATTATATTTTGTTTTTTGTTATCATCGAAAATGATATTTTATTTCATTAACTCATTATCTAATTTATCTTGATGAAAACTTCCCTTAGAAATTGTGTTGGTTTAAATTTTAAAACATCATATAATTTATGGATTAAATTTTTTTTTTAAATCCAAATACTATTATTATAATATATTCTATTCATTTTACGCGGTGAATAATTTAAATTTTTAAAAATTCATTTGTTCCTGACTACTTGATTTTTAAAAAATAGGTAATTAATAATTTAATACAATTTTAATTTTTAAAAAAGAGAAAATGAAAAAAACAACCAGATACTTAATTTTAGTGAAAGAAAGAAAAGTTTTAAAAAACTAGTTGAAATCAAATGAAAATAATTTTTGAAAAAATAAATTAAAAAATAATGAAAACTAGTTTAAATAATTGACTTGAATTGAAATTTATTTTGAAACATATTAAAATATCTTTAAAAGTATAAAAACATTTCTATTTGAAATTTTCACCAGGATGAATCTCAGGGGTGCTGAACATGATCTCAGATAAAAGTCACATGGAAATTCAGAAAAAATGTTACCTGACAAAGAAATTGTATGTAAAAAAACTTGTTAAAATTTATCTATAATATGATGAATGTGTATTTTAATTCTCATTATTAATTTAATTTCGAAAAAGAATCGTATTACATACATACCAGCTAAAGAGCGTTCTCATGTGGCATTTTTGCTGACTTGTGATTATTCGTTAGCACAGAGATATTTATTCCAGAACTATATATAATGTATAGGCACAAACTGGATAGTAACTGGATAGTGTTTTTATTTCTGTTGGGTTTCTCATTTTGGGTATTTTATTACATGCATTAACATTATTATTATTACTA